CTACACACCCAAGTCTAAGACAACTTTCTATAAACCAGGAAGCATATCCTCACTGGCACCTTATGCCCGTGCCCTGGGAGAACAACATTTATGCTCATTGTAGACCACACAGTCTACATGGTTTTCTTATGGAAACCTGAATGGACTAAGACAGTCTCTATAATTTTCTTAAAATGTCAGCATGGGCTCATGGGCTCTTTTTTTTTTAAAATTTTTTTTGTGAGACATGGTCCTACTACACAGCTTGGCTTGCCTTGAGCTTGCTAGGTAAATCAGGGTGTTCTTGAACTCATGGAGATCTGCCTGTCTCTATCTTCTGAGTGCTGGGATTAAAGATGTGCGCCACCAGGCCCCATCTGGATTCTTCTTCCTCCTCCTCCTCTTTTTTATTTTGTTGAGACAGGTTTCTCTGTGTAGCTGTGGTAGTCTGAAAATAACTGCCTCCATAGGGAGTGGCACTATTAGGAGGTGTGACTTTGTTGGAGTGGGTATAGCCTTGTTGGAGGAAGTGTGTCACTGTGGGAGTGGGCTTTGAGGTTTCTTATGCTCAGGAGATCGCCCAGGATGTCAGTCAACTTCCTGTTGCCTGTAAGATGTAGGACTCACCTATCCCTCCAGCACCATGTCTGCCTGCATACTTCCATGCTCCCCTTCATGACGACAATGGACTGAACCTCTGAAATTATAAGCTGTCATCTCAGTTAAATGTTTTCCTTTATAAGAATTGACATGGCCAATAAAAACCCTAAGATACCCGGTACCTAAGTTGGTCCCAGGAACTGGGGTATTGCTGTGATAGGCTGAACCATGCGCTTGTTTGGAGAAATTGGGACTTTGGGTTAGGAAAGCAGTGGAATGTTTTAAGCACTGCTTAATGGGCCATACTAGTAGGAGCATGGAAGACAGAGGTGCTAAGAGTTATTTGAATGACAAGGACTCACTCAAGAGGTTTTAGAGGAGAGAAATTTAGGATGTTGCCTAGAGATCTTTCTTGTGATATTTTGGTGAAGAAAATGATTGCTTTTGCTCTTGTCTGAAGACTGCTATAATTGGGTTTTCCTTTGGGCTGCCAGCTCACAAACAGTGACATGGAGACTTCTTTAATTATGAAAACTTGGCCTATAGCTTAGGCTTGTTCCTAACTAACTCTTATAAGTTAAATTAATCCATTTATAGTAATCTACATTCTATCACATGACATTACCTCTCTTACATCTTGCACCTTCTGTTTCCTCTCTGTGTCTCTGGGTGTCACAAGCCTAGATTCCTCCTCCTCTTTCTTTCTCCCCCTGGAAATCCTATACCTCCTGCCTAGCTATTGATCATTCAGCTCTTTATTAAACCAATTAGAAGGTGCCTTGGCAAAGACATATCCTCACAGTGTACAAATATTCTGCAACAGCCTGCCTTAGGCTAAAGTGAAGAATTTTGAATTAATTCCATTGGCAGAGGAAATCTCAAAACAGCCTAGTATAGACTCTGCCATGTAGATATTAGTGGTAACTCTAAAGAAGATTTATAATGAAAAAGAGTGAGCTGAGCATGGTAAATTACAAAATGTAAGTTCTGAGGAGAAAAAGAACACCAGGAAGTGGAATAGAGCTAAATTCTGTGTTCAACGAGATAAATGGATTAAGAAACGGAATAAAGAGAGTGGTGACCTCAGGGCAAGATCCCACCCAGCTAAGTTTCCAACTTGTGGAAAGGAATTAAAGAAAAGCTTAGAGCTGTATGTGGTGGCCCACATCTTTAATCCAAGGACTGGCCAGGCAGAAGCTGATGGATCTCTGAGTTTGAGGCCAACCTGGTCTGCAGAGCAAGTTTCAGGACAGTCAAGCTTAGGCAGTGAAGGACAGAAAGCTGGTGAAGATGTAACTGAATGAGGGGCCATGTTCCAGGTCCAGTAAGCGGAAGAACTTGGCAACTTTGGATACATGGTTCTGGCTTTAGAGTCAAGGATAGAAGAAATGAGTTATGGAATTTTCCCCCATGCCTAAAGCCACCAAGGCCAGGCATGTGTCAGGGATGTGCCTGAATGGAGGCCTAATAGAGAGGCCATTGCATGAAGCTATGAAGTTGAATCCTGGGTTGCTTTAGAGACCCCAAGATGTTGGAGATGCCAGAGTCATGGGATACCTGCTGAGGAAGACAGCTAACAGGGAGTGGAACCAGCCTGAAAGAAAGAAATGTGTTGCAGTCAACAAAACTGAACAGAGTTGGAGATCTGAAGAGCGTTTTGACATCAGACATGGAGATGCAGAGTTTGGAGTTTGCACTGCTGGTTTTTAGTCTTGCCTTGGTCCTTATTTCCTCGCTGTGCTCTCTTCCCTGTGTTTTCGAATGGTAATGTATACTCTATAAAATATGTATAATATTTTGGAAGTATGTGATCTGCTTTTTGATTTTTATTTTAATGGGGATTACAGTTGAGATTGCATGAATCTCAGAAGAGACTTTGAACTTTTAAACGTTGTTGAGACTGTTAAAGACTACGGGGACTTTTGAAGTTGGGCTAAACGTATTTTGCCTTATGATATTGTTACAGGCTTATGGAAGCCAGAGAGTAGAATGTGGTGGTTTGAATTTAATTGACCGCCCATAATCTCATAGGGAGTGGCGCTATTAGGATGTGTGGACTTAGGACTTTCTGCTGCCTGCAAGATGTAGAACTCTCAGCTATTGTTACAACATCACATCTGCCTGTATACTGTCATGCTCCCCTTTGTGATGATAATGGACTGAACCTCTGAAACTGTAAGCCACCACCTCAGTTTAATGGTTTCCTTTATAAGAGTTGCTGTGGTCATGGTGTGTCTTCACGGCGATAAAAGCCCTGGCTGTCCTGGAACTTGCTCTCTCGACCAGGCTGGTCTTGAACTCAGACCTTGCCTCTGCCTCTGTCCCCCAAAGGCTGGGATTAAAGTTGTGTACCACCATAGCTCCGCATTTTGGATTCTCTTTTTTAAAGATTTTTAATTATATGTATATGTGTGGGGGGGGTGGGGGGTAGAAGGGCAGGGCTGTGTGTGCCTGCAGAAGCCAGAAGATGATGTTGGATCTCCTGAAGCTGGAGACGTAGGATGAGCTGACAGTATAGCAGATACAGTATGAATATATAGGTTTCCATACATCAAAGAAAATAAACAAATGTACCATTGTGAGCTACAGGATGTATGTAGAGAGCTGCGTGATGCCATGCCTTACAGGTGGCGCTGATTCCCACTTTCCACTTTTCCAACGGTGAATGCTCTTAGATGTGTAACAACTCCATATATGGCTAATGCTAAGATCTTGCTTGCTTCAGTGTTTCTGGACCTATCTGTGTTTCCCACGTGGCTTGCTGGGGTTGGCTACCCAGAGATTATTTAAGCTGCGGGCTGACTCTGCCTAGGGCAAGAGGTTGAGAAGGAGCAAGAGGTAACGAGAGATAGTGAGAGGGTGAGAAGATTCTGAATAAAACTGCAGTTAAGAAGAGTCTGGTGTTGCATCTTCATCGCTGATAAGGCAGACGCAACAGATGTAGGTACTGGGAACCAAACTTAGGTCCTCTGCAGGAACAGGAAAAGTGTTAGCTATTGAACCATTTTTCTAGCCCCTCATAGAGACTTTATAATTCAATATGTTATTATATTATAAACTACTGCAATGTGCATAATAAGCAATCATTTAAATTATTATTTCATATATGCCCTAATTTGAACAGAGGAATCTTTTCATAGTGGCTTAGGTGCCTCTTTGACTTGGCACGAGCAATTTATAAGCACTTTGTTCAAGAGGAAACATGCTAGGATTGCTCTCTGCTTTCTTTGATCTGGCTATGCTAACAGCCATTTCTTAGCAGAATGTTGTAGTGGAAACAGTTTTCACCAAGATCTGAGCATTAGCTGTGTTCATGGTCACTGGGATGAATTATCAGTATAATAGATCCAGTATGGATATATGGATTTAGATACAGCAGAGAAAACAAACAATAAACATACATGTGTGTGCGCGCGCGCGCGCACACACACACACACACACACACACACAGCCTGCTACCTCTAATTCCAGTCCAGTGCCACACTACTGAGTCCTTTTGGATTCTGCTTTGTGTGATGGTCAGTGCAAGTCTCTTTTAGAAACCGATACATGAGATGAACTTGAAATACTATTTAAGGGCCAGCCATGCAAAACTCTAGAAACAGATGTTTAGTTAGAAGGAAGAGCAAGCACAAAACCCGGAGCAGAAATAAACAGCGTTTGAGAAGCAGACCAGTCAACGTGGCCAGACTGTGCTGACTTCCCAAAGAGGATGGTTTGAAACGAAGTCAACCCATCAGGAAGGAAAGGCTGAAAATGAAACTACATATGACAGAACAAAGATGCTTAGTAGTGTTTTTGTCAACTAGGAAGATGTCAGAAGGTTTTAAGAAGAGGCTATAGTAACTTTGTCCCAAAATATGACTGCGGTTATTGTGTAGAGCGAACTGTTAAAGAAGCAGAGAGAAGGTGATGAGACCTGCCGTCATCTAGGCAGGAGGGAGGACACAGACGAGGGGAGCAGCAGATGACACAGAAACAGAATAACAAATCGGTGTATCCAAGGGTAGAGACGCACCAACTCTGAATCCTCAAGAGAATTCTGGATGTATATGTCTATTGTGTGCTGTCCTTGCCTTAAGTTCTGAAGCCGAGATATTGAGGAAAGAAATAAACGGGCAGGAGAGATGGCCCAGTGATGAAGAGCACCGGCTGCTCTTCCAGAGGACCCAGTTCAATTCCCAACACCCATATGGCAGCTCACAGCTACCTGGAACTTCATTTCCAGGGGCTCTGACACCCTCACACAGACACGCATGCAGGCAAAGCACAAATGTATATAAAATAAAAATAAACAATAAAAAATAAAAGCCAGTAAGGGCTAGAGCCACTTTGTGGTTAAAAACAAGAAAAGCAAGATTAGTAAGGACTTGGTAGGAGACTAGGAGCTCGTAAGTCAGCTTTAACTTCGGATTTCACTGTTTAGCAGGCTTCAAGAGAAAAGATTTATTTGGTATCACATGGAAGGTTGTGTGTGCCAGCTTCTGTGTTTCTTTGTGAAAACATTTCCTTGGTGCTGTCTTCTTTTCGAACGCCACAAAATGTCACATTCGTTGTGTTTCTAGGCCATTCTTCTAATGAGATGCTTGACAGGTATGCTAATACCTTTTCTGCTAGAGGTTCTCCAAGCAAAGGCTCTGGGGGAACCTCGGCTGCTAGAGAGTCTTTCAAGAACCACTCATCAGCTGCTTCCACGCTTCTGCTGTAATAACTACAAGAGGCGGACGTTGACAAACTCACTGTCACACTGCTGCCATTTTCTACTGAGAGCATGTCAGGGGACTCTCCGCCAACAGCGTCCGGAAGGCAGAATTCATCTTTAGAGTTGACTGCTGTTAAGGAAAAAACGTCTGCTGTGAATATTACATATTGACAAGTCAAGTCTTCTGTTTCTTTGAGACAGGGTTTCTTTGTGTAGCCTTGCCTGTCCCAGAACTAGCTCTGTACACCAGACTGTCCTCGAACTCAGAGACTGCCTCTGCCTCTCGGGATCTGGGATTAAAGGTGTGGACCACAACGTGTGACTTTTTCAGAATTACTATGCATTTATCTGTTTATCTATTTACTTATTTATTTTGCTTTTTTGAGACAGGGCATCACTGTGTAGACCGGGCTTTCCTGGAACTAGCTCTGTAGACCAAGCTGGTCTCAAACTCAGAGGTCCACTTGCCTCTGCCTCTTCTAGTACTGGGATTATAGGTGTGTGTCACCATGCCCAACGGATAAGCCAAATCTTAATTAAGAGTCTTCTTAGGGCTATCATGGATAAGGCAATGCTAGAAGAGAAAACACCAAATTACTATCATCTTTACAATATTAAATATATGATATTTAAATATTCTAGTCCAGGAACACATTCTAATTAGGTTGGAAATCTCAGTTCTACAAGACACTTTTAAAAGTTTCTTGGAGCTGAGTGGTTGTGGCACAAGCTTTTAATCCCAGCGTTTGGGAGGTAGAAGCAGGTGGATCTCCAAGTCTTGAGGCCAGCATGGTCTACAGAGTGGGTTCCAGAATAGCCAGAGCTGTTACACAGAGAAACCCTGTCATGAAAAACCAAAAGAAAAGAAAAAAGAAAAAAAGTTTCTTATATTACTGAAGAAGACCAGAGCTGTGGCTCGCAGGCCCAATGGATACATCTATAAAACTTCCGAAGACCCAAGGCTCAGGGAACACTGTGGGAAAGGGAATGGAAAGATTGCCAAAACCAGAGAAAAGCCCCACAAGGCCTCAACCCTACTAAAGAACTATCGAAACCGAGGAAAACTGGGAGAGGGAGCAGGGGGCTTTCCCAGGGAAGAGCACACATTGGTTGTCAAATATCAAATGGTCAGCCCTGGAAACACACACACACACACACACACACACACACACACACACACACACAAATATTTGCTTGCAATATTTGAAAAAAGAGGTCATGAATTTGAAGGAAATTAGGGAGAGGTATACAGGAGAATTTGAAGAGAGAAAAGGGAAGGGAGAAATATAACTATAATAATTTTATAAAAGGTGTCTTGGGGCTGGAGAAATTGCTCAGTGACTAAGAGCACCCCTTGCTCTTTTGGAGGACCTGTCTGTTCAACAACAGTCTTGTTATGTGGCTTATCTGTAACTCCAGCTCCAGGGCATTTAACACCTCTGGACTCCTTGGGCAACTGAACTCACTCACATCCCCCACCCCCTCCCCATTAATTTTTTTTTTTTTTTGGAGAAAGGGTCTCTCTATGTGTTTTTGGGTGATTTACTGGGCTTTAACTATGTAGACCTTTCTGACTACTAACTCAGAGAAATCATCTTGTCTTCCTCCCAAGGTAGCTAGGATTAAAGGCATGTGCCACATGCCTGACTTACTTATTTATTTATTAACTGTTATTGATTCTTTGTGGATTTTACCCCATGCCGTCTGATCCCACCCATCTCCCTGTCCCCTCACATTTGCTCTCTGCCCTTGCAACCTCCCCAACCCAAAAAACCTAAATTTAAAAGAAAAACCCAAAACCAAACAAAACAAAGTAACAAAATAAAAACAAAAACAAACAACAAGAAGAATTTTGTCATGGAAGCTATAATGTGGCCTGTTGAGACACAGTTACTCTAGTCCATTCATCTTTTCTTGTAAGTATTCGTTACCAAGAGTCATCGGTCTGGCTCGAGGCCTCTGGTTTATGTTACACCACCTAAAATGTGCTTTCACTAGGGCTGCTCTTGAATAGCCTGTTGTCCTGTGTCATGGAGATCCTGCTGTTTTGGATTTGTAGATCTGTCCCTTTCACATGCTCTGACAGTTCCTGGATTTCGGTGGATGCTGGCGATAAGCCAACCCATAGCCCTGGGCCTGGGTGGTAACTGGGTTGGTCAGCTTGCCAGCTTTCTCTCCTTGTCACTACCCAGGTGAGCTCTCCAGCACCCCCCAGGTTAGCTCACCCATGCAGCCTACAGCAAGGAGCTGGACCAGTTCTTTTGCTCTTGGGCCCTCAGATCAGGGTCCCCCACATTCACATCATCAGGGCCAGAATACCGTTTTGCCCAGGCAAAGTGCAGGGCTCTCTCTCCAGATTGCTGTAGGGGGCATATGAGGGAGGGGTGGGGTCATCTCTAATGCTCTGATGCCCTTAGGGCTGGTTGACCTGAGACAGAGTCAGCTCTAATGTGCTGCCCAGGCAGGGTGCAGGGCCTGCTCTCCTGGGTGCTAGTCTCTCACTCTCAAGACCCAAGGGCCAGCTCTCTCATGAGAGCCACAGGGAGCAAGGGGCAGAGGGGGGAGGACATCTTCCCCTCACCCATACCACTGCATGGAGGGATGGGATCAGCTCCCCAGTTCTCATCTGTGTCCCCACCAACAGGGCTAGCTCTAGCGTGCTGTCCAGACAGGAAACAGAGGCTTCTTTCTCGTGCACTGCAGCCAAGTGAGGGTCAGGGCTAGCTCTCTGACTCTTGTGACTCCAGGACCAGCTCCCCTACCTGCTGCAGACGGCAGTGGGGGGGTGGGAGGGCATCTTTCCCTCACCCTTGCCACCGCATGGCAGACGGGGTGGGACAGGGTCAGCTCTCCTGCTCTCCTGCCCTCAGGGTTGACTCATCTGTGTCCCTGACCAAAGGGTCAGCTCTAGTGTGCTTCCCTCTAGTGAGGTACAGGTCTATAGTGAGGGGTGGGGCCATCCTTCCCAGTGCAGGTGCGAGATCTTTCCTGAGGGTTTAGGACCAGCTCACCTGCGGCAGTATCCTGTGGAGGTCAGAACCAGACATCCCAGGACCAGGTAAGGGCAGGGCTGGCTCAGCACAACATGTGTCCAAAGACCCCGTGCTAACACTGGTCATGAACATTATCACAGACCCAGACATGGCCTTGGGCAGCAGCTTGGGTCCAGATGCCATCACGACCTCGGTGGCAGCACGCTCTCCTCCCCCAGCAGCAGCATGGCCACTGGGCATTAACATGCTACCAGGTGGCTGGTCAGACTCCAGGCATCCACAGACTCCTTGATGTCAACTGGAGCCCTGGACACCACCTCAGGACTCAGACATAGCCCTAGGCAGTGGCCTGTGCCAGATGTCTCCATGGCTCCAGGTAAAAAAACCTTTCACAGCTAAAAAATTTTTTTAATGATTTTTAGTTGAATATTACATTTTTAAAAAAAATACTACAATTTTTAAAAAATTGATGAGCAGGATCATAAACAAACAAACAAACAAACGAAAACAAGAACAACAATAAAGCATTTGGTCCACAGAGAGTGGTAAGAGCCCAAACACGGGACGGTTTTCTGCCAATAACAGTAGAAGGCATTTTTAATTAATTAATTAATTAATTATTAATTATGAGTCAGAGTGTCTCTACATAGCTGTGACTGGATCTCACTATATAAACCAGGCTGGCCTTGAACTGACAGAGATCCTCCTGCCTTTGCCTCCTGAGACCTGGTATTAAAGGAGTGTGCCGCCATGACCAGTTTTTTTTTTTTTTTTGGTTTTTTGAGACAGGGTTTCTCTGTAACTTTGGAGCCTGTCCTGGAGCTAGCTCTTGTAGACCAGGCTAGGCTCGAACTCACAGAGATTATTATCTCAACAATTCTTCAGGGTAGTTATTGCTGGGGACACTTCACAAACAAGCAAACAGCTACACAGAGAAACCCCCCCCCATCAATTAGACACAAGGTGTATTTCAATGGTTAAAAGCACTACCTGCTCTTCCAAAGGTCCTAAGTTCAATTCCCAGCAAACCACATGGTGTCTCACAATCATCTGTAATGAGATCTGGTGCCCTCTTGAGGAAGAGATCTGGTCAGCTGTCCCAACAACTTAGACTATGAAACCCAATATGGACAAGTTCAACAGAACCACCTTATACGGGCTGCCCATGCATGCTTCAGCATTGCCAGGACATTCATTTCATTTCATTCGGTAAGCGCATGCTTTTCATATTAGACTACACGGTGGACACTTTAAAATAGTGTTTGTTGCTGGATGTGTTGGTACATGCTGCAGTCCCTGCCCTTGGGAGGCCATCACTCCAGGCCAGTTAGGGTTAAAAAGTGAGATTCTGTCCCAAAACAAGACCAACAAACCCCAAATGAAAAACAACATAAAATACAAGTAAAGACCCCTAAACCAAAAAGTTAGGTTTTTAAAAATGTCACAAAGTTCTTAAAATATATTTTATAATACTTTACATGTTAACTTTTATATTTTACATATTATATTCAAAATTTTATATTCATTTCTAAAATTGTGTAGGACAAGTTTTGAGACATAAGGACGTGGCATGCACATATAAATGGCTACAAGATACGCAAGGTTTCTCCCATACCCTGACTCATCCCAACCCTTGGCATCACTGCATGGCCACCATTACAATGCCTTTGAATTCAATAAAGAAAAAAATAATTTCACATTTTCAGACAGGTTATTACATTTTCTTCTTAAAAAAATGACAATTCGCATACTACTACATAGATATTTCTTTTAAATTTTCATGAAATATAAGATAAATAACATTCTATGAAAGAATCTCCATGATGTTTTAAGATTTAAGAAAATCTTTGCTACACAAATACTTCTAACAATTTATTGAAGAGAAAAGTACCTTTCATTTGTGCTGCTTCCCTTTCTCTGTGCTCCGCCTACATAAAAAAGTCACTTGCATTATTTAAAAACTAAGGAAATTTTTTATAGTTTCTATATTTATACATTTATACTAGTAAGAATTGCAATATTACACGTTTTGATAAAAGTGTTTCTTTCTACAGTATGGAAAAGAACACCTGAGGGCCGGAGAGCTTCTCAGGTGAGAGCATACACTGCTCAGTATTTCTTTTCAATTTCTATGGCACCTGATCCACTCTGAGAGACTGCATCGTCCACTCATGAGGGTGAGACTCCTGTGGGAGCTCCACTTCCTAAGGCTTCTGCCACCTCAGGGCTGTCCCCCGAGGGCCGGTCTTCCAGCCCATGAGCCTTTGGGAGACAGGCCACATCTAAACATTGGCAGAAACTCAATTGCATCTCAATTAAGCTGTTACATGCAAAACAAAAGTGTTCTGAAAATAAAGCTTTTCAAAGAGAAAGTAGATATAATCCTTGAGATCTAGTGTTAGGATGGGTTTTTGGAACATTTTTCTCAACAGTACGGCCCAAGAAATAAAAACAGGAATTATACTTAGCCAATATTGAAAACTTTTATGAAATTCTGTTACAAGGGTGAAAAACTCACCAAGTGAGATTTAAAAACTGAAAAACAGGCCAGGTATGGTGTATACTTTTAATCCCAGCATTCTGGAGGCAGAGGTAGGTGAATATCTATGAACTCCCGAGTTCAAGGCCAGCCTGATCTATATAGTGAGTTCCAGGACAGCCAGGGCTACAAAGAAAGACCCTGTCTCAAAAAAGAAATGAAAACGGAAAAGCACATAACCAACAAAGGACTTGCATCCACAATATATGAAGAACACTGCATTTCAATGTTAAGAAAACAATCCAATTTGAAAATGTAACAGATTTAAATATGTTTTACCAAGAGAATAGATGGTAAATAAAAATATGAAAAGGTGTACAAAACCGTTTACTGGGAAATAAAATTGAAACATAATATGTTGTCTTTCACAGAAAAGGATGTGGATCTTGTCTTGGTGCAGACCACTTCTGACTGACCAGAGTGATGGCTGCTGAAGGCTGGGGTGGCTGTGGAGACTTTTCTCTTTTATTCTTATTATATTTGTGGTGTGTGTGCATGTGTGTGTGCACTTGCCTGTGTGCAGCTGTACACCTGTAGAGGACACCTTTTGGGACTTGATTCTCTCCTTTCACTGTGTGCATACTGGGGATAGAACTAAGGTCATCAGACTGGCTTGCAAGCATCATTACCCACTGAGCCATCTTACTGTTCCAAAACTTCTTAGGGTAAGATAATGAAGGAGCTGAATGGTGGAATGTTTGCCGGGCATGCACAAGGTGCTAGCACTGCAGATCAGCACTGAACATACACAGGCTCCAGCGTGCACTGCCACCCCGTCCACGACTGTGTTGGTCCCATAGTTGACTCATCTTTTCATGAACTCTTTCTCCATAGCACGGAGAACTTTACCTTGTCATCTAAGTTTACTCTGTCATCTAAGTTTATATAATATTCTGAATTCTTCGTTGTGGTTTCAATAATGTTCATAGCCTCTACATCAGAAGTAATCCCCATCTCAAGAAGCCACTCTAGAGAGATTTTGGGTTATAGATAAAGGACTAGAAGCTGCCTTGGTGTGACCAAGTGAAGAAGAATCGTGATGTGTAAACACAGTGTGTTCCAAAGAAGGGAGGTGAGGGAAGAAGCTTCAGAAACCCACAAGAGGAGATCCAGCACAGCTGTGAAGTGCAGAGAACCAGGAGGAGGCAGCAACAAGAAGGCACACAGTCATCCAGGGGTCCTGCTGAAAAAACATTGGCTTCCCTACTCACAGGCCACGCCCACAGCGCTCACAAACCTCAAAACTAGAGGCTCTTTTATGGGATGGATCAACAATGGGAAGGAATTTCCCTGCCTTGGAGGGCTGAGGCTGGTGTCATCTTTAGAGAGGACGTACTGTTTAAAACCGAACTGCCGTGGGGTCCTGAGCCTGAATTCAACCTGTCACAGCCCCAGCCTGAGAGACAACCATAGAGTGTTGGGGGTGCGCAGGTAGAGAAGCCCCAAATGCAGGCATCGGCTAGCTCCACCATTGATCCCTGGGAGCAGATGTCATCGATATAACTTTGAAGTTAGCAGCTGAACCAAGTTCTGGAGTTCTCTGTTGTGAGGTTAACTGCTGTACAGTTGGGGCGCTTTGGAACTACAACTACCACTTTTCTACAGGAACCAGGTTGCCAAGTCAAGCGACTCAGTACCTGCCTGTAACTCCAGCTCCAGAGGACTTTAATCCTCTGGCTAAGACCACACACACATGTGTCATACACATGTGTATGCACGCGTGCACACACAGAGAGACAATTAAAGGTTTGATTTAATATAAAATTTTGTGTATGTGTGCCTATCAGTATGTGTGCAGTACTCACAGAGGCCAGAAGAGGGTACTGGATCCCTGGTCCTCTGCAATAGCCTCATGCGCTCTGAGCCATCTCTCCAACCCTGCTAAAGGGATTTTGAGAAGATGGAGACAGGTTTGCCTGTGTGGAGCTCAGCGCTATGGGCACTACCCCTACCTCTGATGAAACAGGCAGAAAGAAAGTACTCAGCTAGAACATTCACCAGTCTAGAGGGTATGAACTGGGGACTCTGGGGATGGTGGGAGACTCTGTGCAACTCACAGACTGAGAAAGCTAAGAGAGACCTGTGGTACACACAAAAAAGGAACACTGCTGACATGCAGACAGCCCTGGTTGACATCAGACATTTGTACAGTACAGGCTCCTCAGCACCAGTATAAGTCATGGTAAGCAGAGACCAGAGCCCACCATTTAATGGGCCCCAGTCGACCTAGACACAAATTCAGCACCATAGGTCCTTAGTGAACCGTGCCAACAGTGAGTGGTCTCTCGGCATTTCTTACAATGTGAAACTAAACACAGCGACAGCAGCCAGTGCTGATGTGGATGTGCAGTGAACTAGACACATGGCTGCTGAGTTCAACTTAAATAAAGGCCTGCCGTCCTATCTGTCACCAGTCTTTACCTCTGAATGCTGTAAGACCATTGATTGATTGATTGATTTAACTCAGCTATATTTTCAGTTTCTACTAGGCTTTGCCGCGTTCCACTTTGTCCTTATGATGCTCTATGACACATGACATTGTTAATTGTGGTCTGCTTTGCTCATCAATACCACACAAGCACTTTGAAAGAAGGGACATCTTAATCTTCCCAACAGGGGAGGGACAAGTTCTTCAAATTAATTTGGATTGGTAGGTCTTTACCAAATTGAATTAAATTATACTTAACTGGTTTGACGCGGCTATCTGGTTATCTGAGCATTTCTTATCTCCAAATTTCTTTTCTTTTCTTTTCTGTAGTTCCGAGAATTTTGCAGGCACCCCCCCGCAACATGCCCTTATTTTCATCCCTCTTCTAAACCACTATGGAGAGTGTAGGGTTTTGTTTGCTTGTTGTTTTTTTTTTCCTGAAAAGTATATAAAAGCAACTGGAGACAGAGTTTATTTTCATTTAATTTTTCTGTTTTTTAAAAATCTATTTATTTATTATGTATACAGTATTCTTGGTATTCTGCCTGCATGTATCCCTGTAGGCCAGAAGAGATCTCATTACAGATGGTTGTGAGCCACCATGTGGTTGCTGGGGACTGAACTCAGGACCTTCAGAAGAGCAGACAGTGCTCTTAACCACTGAGCCATCTCTCCAGGCCAATTTTTCTGTTCCTTTAAAAACTTTATCACCCTCCAAAATATAAAAGAAAACCAGTTCTCCTATTTTATGAACTTTTGGTTTGGATAATTTAAAATTTGGCACCAGGAATTTTTTTTTTGAGACAGGGTTTCTCTGTAGCTTTAGAGCCTGTCCTGGAACTAGCTCTTGTAGACCAGGCTGGCCTCGAACTCATAGAGATCTGCCTGCTTCTGCCTCCTCAGTGCTGGGCTTAAAGGCGTGCGCCACCACTGCCTGGCCTCATGCTTTTGTATCTTAAACTAAAACATAATAGTGAATATATTAGCCTCGTAATAGAAAGATAACTTGCTAGTAACCTGGTCTACGGATCTCCCAGGAGACTACTTAAAAACACGACACTCTACCTGTGGTGGAGATTGGCCAGCGTGAAAGTTTCGGGAAATGAAAACAGACTGAGATTTAGCCTTCTGTTTGTACAGTCTTTGTTTCAGCTTTTCATCAATTGATTTAATGCTGGGACTTTGGAATATTTCCCTGGAAAACATTGTACAGAAAATATTATAACACAGGAATCAGATTATATGATTATATATGCCAATTGAGATATTGTCTCTAACATTATACATCGGAGTTTGAAATCAACATGTTGTAGACCTTTAAAAATAGCAGTTTTTACACTTAACAGATCTGATTTCATTATGTCTATTTTCCATAAAATGTAAACTAGTTAATTATAGAAAGTTAGCATTTATGGTTTGAATATTGCTGAGTTACTTATATACTTCTTTTTGGTTATGAGATAATCAACTTCATTGCTAATTAGTCTTTTCTTTCTTTTTTTCTGTTTCTTTTTTCTCTCTCTTTCAATTTTTTTTTTGAGACAGGGTTTCTCTGTGTAGCTGAGGCTGTTCTAGAAGTCTCTTTGTAGATCAGGTTGACCTCAAATTCAGAGATTCACCTCTGTCTCCCAAGTGCTGGGATTAAAGGTGTGTGCCATCTGCCTGGCATAATTAGCCTTTTCATACATCGGTTTGTAATGAAATAAATGAACTCATTGGTCCCTTTTGGCACAAAGAGGACAGAAATTGAATTGAAAATAACGGTACTCTGGGAGAGAACCTGTGATCTTTTATTATCCACACAGTCACAAGCAAGTGGGGAGGCTTAAAAACCACAAGGTGCCTAGTGAAACCTCAACAGATCAGAAAGAAATGTCCTTTGTAAAGTTAACTATTTGTGAGGGCTGTTCTTGGCCGGATACAACTTGGCTGCATCTAGAATCAACCAAAACCCAAGTGAGAGATTTTCTTGACTGAATCATTTGCAGTAAGAAATGCCACCCTAAATCTAGGTCATTTGAGTTGGGAAGACCCACCTTCGATCTGGGCCACACCTTCTGCTCGCAGCCTATGTAAAGGGCATGGAAGAAGGAAGTTTTTGCGTTTTCCCTGCTTGCTTTTACTATCACTTGCAAGCTCACTCTTTTATTTTTAAGATTTATTTATTATGTATACAACATTCTCCCTTTACGTATGGCTTGCATACCAGAAGAGGGCACCAGATCTCATAGAGCCACCATGTGGGTGCTGGGAATTGAACTCAGGACCTCTGGAAGAGCAGCCAGTGCTCTTCACCTCTGAGCCATCTCTCCAGCCCTTGCAAATGTATTCTTTTGTTGGTGTTAGAACCTACTTCTTCAGGATTCTGATACATACTTAAAAGCAGTGGAGGCATCCAGCCTTGTGGGCGGAACAGCTCCTGGATTCTTAGACTTTCCTTTGGGAGACAGCTATTGTTGGAATAGACCATAGCCTGTGAGCCACTCTAATAAATCCCATATACATTTATATGTATATATATATGTATATTCATTGTATCAGTTCTGCTTCTCTTGAGAAACCTGAGTAATAACAGGATTTTTAAAAATGATGACAATGAATCTATGTAGTGATACAAAGAAGGGAGCCTTCAAGTCCTAAAAACAGACACAGAGGAAAGCTGGTCATAGTGACTCATATCTGCAATCCAGAGGCTTGGAGGCTGAGGCAGGAGGACTGTTGTGAGGTTAAGGTCAATCTGTGCCACCTAGTGAGCTTTAGGCTAGTTAGGCTGTATAATTAAGGCCTGTCTGAGAAAAAGTCTAAGATTTGACATCTGATTTCAACTCTATGACATCACTCTGGAAAGGACTGAACCACGGAGCCCTAGGAAGATCACTGGTTGCCTGGGGTTAGGGATAGGGAGGGGTGGGTAGATGAAGCACAGAGGAATTTTAGGGCAATGCCAATGCTCTGGCTGGCACTGTGATTGTATATGCAAGTCACTATACATTTGTGAAAACCATGAAATACACATAAGGAATAAACCTTAATGTCAAATGGATATTAACAACCTGTTGACACAAGTTCTTCAGCGTTAACTCTACCCAAACAACAATAATGAGGGTCATCTATATCTCCAGTGGTACTGAAAACCTCCCAGGTTAATTCTAGAGATCGTCATATCAGATTTCTTCAAAAGATATTAACAATTACAAGCAATTAAGATCCAGTCACTCATTGGCTTCAATCCATTAAACCAATATTTAACCTGTATGTCAGAAACATTGGGTGTTGAGTATTTAAGAGTGTGCTAGGGGCAGGGCCTATCACCGGCACCTTCATGACCTGTCATGTAGCTCTTATTATACTAACAAGGAAGACAGACATTACAAGAAAATGAAAAATTATGGCTATGGAAAATGCCGTCGAGGAAAGCTACCAGGTACTGTGTGGGAGTTTGTATAAAGGGAATCAACCTGGACAGAGCGGTCACTGCAGGATGTCCTGGGGAAAAGGCGGCTGAACTAGACTGCTAAAGAAACAAGATTAGTGAGAGGGTGAAATCTGGTAGAAAGGGGGAGATGTGGAAGAGATGTTATTCTACTCGGATGGAATGTCAAACACTAAGATACAGGGGCCGGAGTTCCACCTCGTGGACAAAACACAGAAAGCACAGCCGAAAATAGGACTGGGAATGGAGGCGTGTGCAGAGACAGGTCGTGGGGGAGGGGCTTAGAATCAGGGGCGTCCTGAAAAACAGTGGGCGTGGGAGAGAAGAAGAGAGGGATTTGATGAGATCTACAGGCAGAAAATGTGCGTGGAGAAGAGATGAACCGAGCTTGACACTGAAGGCAGGGGTCAGCTGTAAACCCCGGGGCAGCCGTCCACGTGAAGGACAACAGAGGCTCGGAGAGAGCAGCAGTGGTTAACGGGAGGAAATGAATGTGTGTGATTTACAAGGGGAATAAAAATCAGACTTGGTGATAATTCAAGTGTGTTAGGGTGGGAAACAAGAGCGACCCGTCAGGTGCGTGCACTTTGAGAAGACAAGCACCCCTCCTTTGACTTTTGCTGTGACTGGCATCTGAAACGTGGCCCACAAACCCATCCTTTGAGTGTGCATTGCCGAGATGATGGCACTGCTTGCGGGAGGCTGTGGGACCTTTTGGAGGTGAAGCTTGGTAGCTTTCTACTTTCTGGTTCACCATGCTGTGAGGGTCTCTGCCACACATTCCCGCATCTGTTACTGTGGCCGTCCTGGCCGTCCCTTTCCCAATGGGACAGATGGAAATCTCCTGAAACCCCAAACCCAAGATCAGTTTTTCTCCCTTATGTTTTTGTGTCAAGCATTTTGGTCACTGGGACACAAAAGCACCTAATAAAATTCTATGTGCTCCTCCAGCGACTGTCCCCTTTGCTAGTTTTCTAAACATACACTTGCAGGCATGCGCGCGCACACACTCCTCTTGAAAGAGACCTTTATGCTTTTCTCAAATTTCTCACATCTCATTGTCCTCAAGGATCAACTCTGAACCTATCATCGCACTAACATCTCATCAAGGTTACCCATGACCGCCATCTCCTGAAATCAAAACGTCACTTTTTTGTCCACATCATCCTCAACTTCAGGATTTCCGTCTAACAGACTCACACCTCCTTCTAACATTTTAGATTTCTACTTTCTTGACTTTCAGTTTTTTGGTTTCTATTCAGATGTTGAGTTTCTCTACACAGCTGCTCAGTTTCCAAATGCAGGGACTGTGAAGGGCACAGCCATGGGTCTCCCCTTCCCTTCCTTCCTTCCTTCCTTCCTTCCTTCCTTCCTTCCTTCCTTCCTTCCTTCCTTC